AAAAAATCATCTCACTCATTATTTCAACATTTCAAGGTGCACAATTTAAAAATAAAAGTCACACATCATTATATATTGCAAAACAAGTATTTGTTTACTAAACTATTTTTAAATACTGATATTTTTTTATCACATACAAGAGAGAGAGAGAGTAGTCGAGTTAAGCCAAACTTTAAGTAGCTATCAGATATTCAAAAATTTATTACTCAAAATTTATTTTATTGAATAATAAAAAAATTAAAAAATAAAAATCATCTCACTCAATATTCTTAGTTCAAACAAACATTATTATTTTAACTAATAATAATTCAAACAAGAAATAATTCGCCCTAATATATATTTTTAACTATCAATCAATCATAATTTTAATATTATTTTCATACCACATTAACGCGTAGCTCTTTTGAAAACGGGCCAAGTTGAGCTTTCATGGAGCTAATAAAAAGTACAAAATTGGAGCTCAAATCGAGAAGGTTAACGAGGGTCACAGCCCAAGTCGACCGACCAATGAGCCTAGATGAGCTCGAGCTCTATTTCTCACTAATATGTTCAAGGCAAGCTAACCAAAAAATGCCAATCAAATTAATTATTATATTAGTTTTGTGCCCTACTCAACATGTGTGAGTGTAACATTCATGTGGGATGTAACCTTTAGCTGGATATTTGTTATATGTTAATAAGTTGAAGGTTCCAAAATGTGTGGTTGGGACATTAACTAATAATTTCATGTCTGTCATCTTCCTTACCATAATGCAAACAGTGGGGCCATTTGCATGTTCAATTTTGTACCAGAAATTCAGTTCAAAGTGTTGGCAAGTGGAATACTGGAGTATCATTTGTGAGTTGTCCCACATTAATTCTGTAGGGAAAACGAGCATATAAGCCAAGTGAGCTACTCTTCTCATCACCAATTGGTTTTGGGATGGAATCTCACTATGGTGCATCTAGGCTCACTCTCTTATTGTGCGCATGATATGCGTGTGACCGCACTCTCTTGCCCCGATTCTCTAATCTTACAACTGATAAGAGATTGAATAATAGCTGCAAAGAACTGATTGTGACTATGTTTTGGTGTCTCAACATCATCAGCCTTTATTATTACTACCTTTGTTCTGCCCTTTTATACAGGCACTTGTTGTATTTCAAAATGTTTGATATTGTTGCAATGGGGTTGAACAGCAGTTGATGATTTGGGGATTAACATATGATAGGAGTTAGATACTGTTACCTAAATTTACATAAATTTAATGTATTGTCAGAGCAAACAAATTGTTCATTGGTTTTATATATACTCTAGTCTCAGCAACTTTGTTTTCTTCTTACAAAGGAGGAAAACAAATTTTACAGCAGAAGGGATATGTCTCTAGTTATGATGATGAGATATGTAAGAATGGGGTGTAAGAATGGGGGAAGAGGTGCGGCCCGTAAAACACACCATAAGAGAGTGAACCTAGGTGTCCTTACAAGTGAAGCGCACCATAAGAGAGTGAGCTTAGGTGCACCTTAGTGAGGTTTCATTCAAAAATTATGGGAGGAGAATGTCACTAGTATATAAGCTAAGCTCATTTTTTATTAATTTGAGACAACTCACAAGTGATATTCCAACAAAATTTCAACTCGACTAGGGATAAAATGACCAAAAGAATGAGATAAACAAAACTAGGACAAGAAATGGCAAAATCGAGATTAAATTCCAGCAAAAAATTAAGAATATTTCTCATGTACATTGACCTTTTATGTAAGTTGTGTAGAACCCGATGTAGAAAGTAGTGCAACTGACATTAAAAAAAATTATTAGTTTCTTTTTAATGAAAATATAATTCACTCGGGATTCGATGTGTAAATAGTAGATTAATAGTAGTTCTTTTTCCTTTTCAGAATGATAGACTTTTATAAATACAAACACATAATTACAATCTCGATAAAAACAGTAAATGCCGAATCAAGCAGCTACACGATTGAATCCGATGAGATCACAACCCCAAGGGTAGCCCTAGGCACCATAAACGCACCCACGATAATACGAAACTCCCACTAGTTGAGAATAACAACTCTCAGAAGGAGAATCAACGCCCAAAACAAAACAAGAAAAATACAATACACCCACAAGAGTTAAACACTAAAATAGACATGGATAGAATAAGGCCCTCACCAACAGTCTGACATCACTCGGACCTAACACCACGCGAACCAACACAGAAGCGCGATCCTAGCCAGAAACTCCCTTCAACGACGGCTAACTATATCAGACCAGACCAACTCCCTCCCACGTGCAACACCAACAAGACAACACCAGGAGGCCCGCTCATTTCCCCTCCCCCCACACAACCAGCCATTGCCGCCAAAAAAATGACTAGAGCTGCAGGGCACTCCAGCCGGAGCTCTCGACCATCCAACACCAGGGAGAGAAGAGGGCTTGGGGAGAGAGAAGCACAAACCTCAAAGTCGACCGCCGACGGCAACCCACAACGACAGCACCGGCTTCGCCAATGAGAACCGACAACTCCAAATCCAGGATAAAGGTGGAAATCACGCCAGAGGAGGAACCAACACACTAAGAGGACCGATGCCCGCCCCAATGTTGGTCAAAACCGCGCGGTTGTGGAGCACCGGCTAGTGGGGAGGCGCAAGAGAAAATCGGCGAGGGTTTTTAGATTGAGAGCTTATTGAGTCTTTGTTTAATTCTTGAAGTACATCTAGTGGTAGTTGAAATTGAAGATTCTTCTATTTGACAATCTATATGTGCTATGACTTGTCAATTACATCTTTAGATACAAGGCAAATCAATGGAAGTTGGACAATTCAATAAACATCGCCATCCATGAAAGACAAACAAAAACCTCCAGACAACTCTAACTTACACAAACAAACGATACCAACTAGTAACAGAAGTTCACATCCATATTTCACACTTTCACATTCCCAAGTAATCAAACCATAAGCATCCTATGAACAATCCCAAATCTTTTCCATCATACATATGAATAACCCCAACTTCAACAAAAACAAGGAAATGAAGAAACAAATTCGAACTAAGTTTTAACATCAATCACAAAAAAAAAAATATGCCACAAAA